TTTATTCTTTTTTTTGTTGACATGGTATATTATGTTTATTGATTTGTGAATATTGAACCATCCTTGCATTCCCAGAATACATTGCAGTTGATGGTGGTGAATGATCCTTTTAATGTATTGTTGAGTTCAGTTTACTAATATTTTGTTGAGGATTTTTGCATATATGTTCATTAAGGATGTTGGCCGATAGTTTTCCTTTTTTTGTAGTGCCTTTGTCTAATTTTCATATTAGGACAATGCTGGCCTTGTAGAATATATTTGAAAGCTTTCCTTGCACTTCTATTTTTTGGAATAGTCTGAGGAGAATAGGTATTAACTCTTTTTTAGGGGCACCTGGGTTGCTCGGTCAGTTAAGTGTTTGACTCTTGATTTTGGCTCAGGTTTTTCACAATCTCACAGTTTGTGAATTCAAGCCTCATGTCAGGCTCTACGCTGACAGCATTGAGTCTGCTTGAGATTCTCCCTCCCCCTCTCCCTCTGTCCCTCCCCTACACACACACACACACACACACACACACACGCACTGTCTCCCTCTCTCTCTCTCTCTCTCTCTCTCTCTCTCTCTCTCTCTCAAAATAAGTGAATAAACTTAAAAAAAAAGCTTTTAAATATTTGGTAGAATTCACCTGTGAAGATGTCTGGTCCTGGACTTTGGTTTGTTGTGAGCTTTTTGATTACCAATTCCCTTTCTTTACTGGTAATTTGTATATTCAGAATTTTGGAAGATTATATATATTTCTAGGAATTTATCCATTTCTTTTTCAAATTTGTTGGTATATAATTTTTTATAATAGACTCATAATCCTTAATATTTCTGTGGTGTTGGTTGTTACGGCTCTTGTGTTTCTTATTTTATTCATTTTGTCCTCTCTCTTTTTTTTCTTGGTGAATCTGGGTAAAGGTTTATCAATATTATTTATCTTTTCAAATAAACAGCTGCTGGTTTCATTGATCTTTTCTATTGTTTTTTAATCTCTATTTCATTTAGTTCTGCTCTGATCTTTATTATTTTCTTACTTCCAGTAATCTTGGGCTTCGTTCTTCTTTTGTGTATCCTTTAACTACAAGGTTAGATTGTTTACTTGATATTTTTTTCTTGTTTCTTGAGGCAGGCCTTATTAATTAATTTTAAAAGATGATCAATATGATCAGATTCTTATAAAAAGAGAGGTTGGAGAATTTGATACTGGAGGCAGAAATGTTAATTAAGAACCCTGTTGCAGGAAGTGTGGATAGGAGATGATGAACAGAATAAGAACTGCTAAGGAGGAAGAGCAAACAGGATTTGGTGAATGACTGGTTATAAGGAAGGGATATGGGCCAGCTTTTGAGATCCTGATGTGGATGGTTGAATGTGGTCGTTTAACTCTAAAAGACTTTTTTAAAAAATAAATCTATAAGTATATATACAAAAACATTAATAGTGATTATCTCTGCATGGTGAAACATGAATGATTTTTGTTTTCTTTCCATACTTTGTATTTCCTGAATTTTTTGGAATAAACATTTATTACTTTTTATAACTGGAAACATAATGGCACTATTTTCATAACAGTGATTATTTTTTCCCATGCACAGCATTATAGGTGGGAATTTAATGCAATTTAACCATTTAACTTCCCACCTCCCCACATCACAATCATGAACATCTTTAAAAGCAGCATTATTGGTATTATTTTGCTTACACATTGTCTTAGCCAAAAGGATAAGAGATGATGATTTTGCTTAAAGTTCACAAAGCCCCAACAAGAGGAATGCATGTTGTGGCATCATGACCTCACTGAAGGTGGCTTTTCTTTTATCCCTGAACTCCTCATTTTATACAGTTTAACTGTTGAATGTGTTAAGTATGCATGGCCAAGGGAGTGGAAACTTTGGACATGTCTAGAAAGCACTGGGGATTTGGGGAAATTATGTTTTTAAATAGAAGAGAAAAGAAATGAAAAGGTAAAGATAGGGAGCAGACTTTTAACTGATATTTCTCTTGTACACAAATATGTGTCTGTTCAGCTCCCTTTTGCTGTTCAGACAGCCATTGACACTTGTCCTTTTAGCTTCTTAGTTTTCTATTAATATGAAATACTTCGTTAGTTTGGATTTGGGGGTTATGTAAAATTATGCCCTTAGGAAATGAAAACATTTCACGACTGGGGAAGCAGGCGTTCAATGATTACCTTCAAAAGAAACACAGCAGAAAAGAAGCACAATTAGGTTAAATTAATTCTCCAGTTCTTTGTGGTTTTGAATTGGTCTGCTTTTAAGCTGCAGGCATCTAATCAGAAGAAACCCAGTATCTCTTCACAAAGATACAAAGATGCTTAATAAAGAATATTTCATTGCTGCTGCATAATCCACTCCCAAACTTGTAGTTGTATAAACCGTTTGGGCAGGAGAACAAGTGGGAGAATACATTTTTTGCTGGGCTCTGCCTGTCCACCTGTAACTTTGCTGAGTTTAGCTGTGTCTGCTCCTATGCATGCTAATCTGTCTGTGCGGTGCTGCTGGGTGCTGCCTCAGGACCTTGAGCCATGCCTTGGGCATGTGCTTGGGGTACTTGAAAAGCACTGACATCACCCGGACTTTGTCATGCCTTTGGGGGACTGCAGAGTGGTTTACTAGGACACTGAAGTCGTATTTAGGACACTGAGCGGTTAAACTTGCTTCATAGATGTAGCGACCAGAAACAACATTGATCCCTAAGGAGTTGGTACTAAAGTCCTTTATGGAAGCAAGGGTTACACATTCTTTCCTTCCAGAGTAAAATTTACCAATCCTAAGAAGTAAGATTTGGAGAACAAGTTTAAACATTATTTGAAATGATTGGTGTGAGAGTCAAAATCTTCAATATCACTTTGATAAAACCTTCTGAATGGGAAGCCAGGGTATTTTGACTGAATGGCTGTGAGTGGACTCAGATATTTGAGTTGCTGTGGATTTTAGTGATCATCTATAGTAAACTTTATTTTAAAGAGAAGCATTTATTCCTTTTCAATTGTTTTGGCAAATAGAGTTATTAAGAGCCAGAATCTTATGCTGATTCCTGAAGTTAGCTAGCTTGACTCCCTGTTAGGATATAATTAAAGTGTCATCTCCCACCCAAAGAAATAGAATCTAAAGTGGGGGGAAAAAAAGTCAAGTAGCTGTGGTGATGATGCAGCTGTTACTGAAAGAGCTGTTTCATAATTTCTTTATTAACATTTTATTATGTAGAACAGCACTGTGCTATAGAAATATAATGGGAACCACATCTGTCATTGTAAATAGTCTAGTAGCTGCATTTAAAGGAGGCTAAAAGAAACAGATGAAATTAATTAATTAATTACTAACAGATGAAATAATTAAATAATAAAAAGAAACCTATGAGGGGCGCCTGGGTGGCGCAGTCGGTTAAGCGTCCGACTTCAGCCAGGTCACGATCTTGTGGTCCGTGAGTTCGAGCCCCGCGTCAGGCTCTGGGCTGATGGCTCAGAGCCTGGAGCCTGTTTCCGATTCTGTGTCTCCCTCTCTCTCTGCCCCTTCCCCGTTCATGCTCTGTCTCTCTCTGTCCCAAAAATAAATAAATGTTGAAAAAAAAATTAAAAAAAAAAAAAAGAAACCTATGAAATTAATGAAATTGACATTTAACCTACTTTATCTAAAACAGTATCATTTTAACATATAATCAATATAAAATTAATGAGATATTTTACATTCTGTTTTTCTTATTCCTGGCATTTGGTATATCTTTAACACTTGTTGCACCTTCAAATCAGACTAGCCATGTTTTAAGTGCTCAGTAGCCACTTGGGGCTAGTGGCTACCATGTTGGGCAGCACAGATTTAGAACATATTCCTTTCAGCTTTCAGATATGATAGAAATAGAATATAAATATTTTAGAGTTCTTAATATTCTTAGATAACTAGAAAAGGGGAAAATATGTTGAAAGTTACTTAAATAGATCAGTGGAGTGAAATAGCTATCTGATGGTATTTTGCATTCCTTAAGCTATTGGAAAATATTGCTCCCATATTAAAAATTTAAAGTTAATAATGGGGGGGAGGGAAACAATGTTCATTCTACTTGAAATAGGTAAGTTTTCTATCGACAAGCCTGTGTACCCACTGTGATTCTTGCAGAGTTAAAGAAAGTTTGCACAGGAGTCCTGTCTCTCTGGGGGCACTATTTTAGGGCCCTGGATACAAGCTTGAGAACCGGTAGAGACAGGGAAAATCCTTCCAGAATGAGCATGGCTACAGAAGCTCTTTGAAAAAGAAGGAAAGATTGCCACTGGCTGTCTGAATTTTTGAAGCTAACAAAAAATGAAGAACACTTATAAGTTGTTCATCTTCGGTAGGTTTAATAGAATTATTCAGGACAAGAATATTTTCTGTGAGATTCCTTCATTTCCTGAGACCTTACATGTAAAAATATGTGTTTTAATTTCATTAAGTGAAGATGGGTTGTTTTATTTTATTTTTTTTAAGATGGGTAGTTTTAAGGATGTACTGAATTTGAGGTTTGGGGAAGAGTAGAGTCAAGTCTGTCTTAATATAGTTTGTGTCATCTAATCACGACTACCACTTTATCTGCACTCACAGTTTTTTTAGTAGAACAAACTTATTGCCTAAGAGCTATAAACTATGGTAAGGGTAGAAAAATCACTGTTCTTCACTGGTAAAATGGTTTTAAAAAGTTGCAAAGTTAACATTTCAATCAGTGAAACCAGAAACTCCTTTCAACCCCTTTATTAAGGTATCTTTAAGTATATGGGTTTTAAAAGAGGGACAAAGTCAGGAGAAAGGGTGAATTCTAGAACAGCAGTTCTCTGCCAGAGTCTTATAATTAAGGGATTTTTTTTTGTTTTTTACATTATCAGTGGAGTCCCATTTCCCCCACGCCTGTCATGCAAACCTTAGTGAGTCAGTCTGAATTTCTTGCCTGCTCTTTCTTGGATTAATTTCTAAGAGCTCTTTTTTTCCCCCCATTTTTATTTTATTTTATTTTATTTTTTGGCACCCAGGAATTAAATAGCTTTAATTACTTGGATCTGTACAGACTTGCTGACCTCTTTAACCTCACTTTGCTGGAGAAGGCAGTGATCGATTTCTTAGTGAAACATCTCTCTGAGCTCCTGAAGAGTCGCCCAGAAGACGTTCTAACGCTTCCCTATTGTCTGCTCCAGGAGGTTCTGAAGAGTGACCGCCTGACCTCCCTGAGTGAAGAGCAGATCTGGAAGGTAAGGGCGCTCTGCATGGGCCTTCTTTTGGCAGGGAGAAGGCATGGGGTGGCTCAAAGTTGAGCAGTTGAGGAACAATGATAACTGTTTTGTCTGGTTTGGTTCTCCTCAGAGCCAAAGTCTTAGCAGTCATGGTAGGCAAATGATTGGAGAACACCAACCCTTGAGGCTACAAGGCCTCAGCCTCTGCTCATCTTAACTCAGGAAATCATACGTATGGTTCCTCAGACCCTTGCTGGGGGTTCCCAAAACCCTAAGGGGGAGTCACATCAGAAAGAGTCAAGAATTTTTTTCTCTTGATAAAAATAGTTTCTCAAACTGAGTGTGAGAAAATGGATTGTCAAGTGCTATTTATACGCATTTAAGACCAATGAAATTGGAATAGATGCTGGGCTTTCCTGTAAACAATTCAGAAGCATTTCTCTGTTGCAGCAGAGAGCAGCTGGGACCTTAAATGAAATGAAGCTCTTGCATGCAGTGGAAAAATCTCCCTCCTTAGTTCATTCTGCATTCATTGCTATTTTCCTAAGCCCTGCCTTTCCACCTGACGTAGCATTCTTTTCGAATATCCTATGTCTAGAGGATGGGAGGAGGTTTTGTATTTTCAAACGGATTATTCAATTTAAATCCTTTTCTACTCATCCCCACTGACTTTACTTGAGAATTCACATGGTGTCTTTGGGAAACAGAGCCCATCTTATCCCCTTTGTTTAACATTGTCTACCTCACTCTCTGAACACTGGCTAGCTATGTAGCTACTTATGGGGCAGCATACCTTCAAGATTTCATGATGACTTGAAAGCAATTTACATACAGAATACGAGGGAAAATATGAAGTCTTCTGGTAGCTGACAGCATAGTAAATTCCTGGTATCTTAGCAAATGACATTCAGGGAGAACTCTAACTCTCGCCAAAACAGAGTCAGAGGTATCTGTTAATTATCCAGCATCTGACTCAACTGACTAATAATTTTGCTGATGTATTTCTCCCTTATTTCTTTCTTTGTATTACATTAATCAGCAACTTCCTTTCTACTCTTGCCCCACCAGTGAGGATAATAAGAGCTGTGGTGTACTGAGGGCCTCCCAGGACCCGGACTCTTTATAAACTCAATGACTTATCATCACAACAGGCTTGAAGGACAGTTGTTATCACCCCATCTTCCAGATGAGCAAAATAGGGATTCAGTGCCTTGCTCAGGGTTGCAGAAAGGAGCCAGCCTACAAACCCAAGTCTGCAGACACCTGCCTTCATCCCTCCAGTATTCTATGCTGTCTTGACAAAGAAAATATGAGGGAAACACATAAGCCATATTTTTTTCTCCTTCTTAGGTATTTCTGTTAATGCTTGTTCAGGTAGAGGTCAAAAGTTGGTGAGGATGAGTTTTTGGTATGAATTTTAATACCTGTGGTTCTCCGCCCACAAACACAAATCATCAAAATTTTCTGGTCAATTCAAAGTGGGGGGAAAAAGAAAGACTTGGAATGAATTCTGCATTTAATTATTTCTAACTGAATTGAGATCTGAGCCAATCATCCTTGTGGCTTCTTTCTCTTTCTGTGGCATGGTCAAAGGGAATGCCAGAGTGGTAATGTGCAGATGTCTGAGTATCCGAAAAAATTCCATACTGTCCACTTAAGAGTTATCATAATTGCCTCTCTAAAGTTTACTAATATTATCACATAGAATTTTAAAAACTGCTTTGTGCTGCAGGCAGTATCTTTTCTACCTGGTCCTCAAGAAAGAATTAAAAGTCTCACATAAATATGATCAGTTTAGGTGTTCGGCAGGCAATAAGAAACTGTTTTTGCTTTATCTTAGTAAATAAGTAATTCCCTCATACTCAACTCAATAGAGAAAAATTAAATCAGACTAGCTATATTGCCTCAAGTATAGTTAAGTTCATCATTTTTGCTGAGGTTATACTAGTAATGCAATATACCATGGAAGAATCTAATATTCAGCCCAGGGTGAAGATTGGGTATGCCAGAGGATTAGTGTCAGGGTGCTTTATAGAAGTGAATCTTGATGGACAGGCTGGAGACAGATCTACAGAATCTCATTAAATTGCTGAATTGTTCATTACGGAACGTTCTCACTGTAATAAAGTGCTCATTGACTTTGACAAATCCCCATCCCATGTCTTAAAGAAGAACAGTGAAGCAACGGGTGTGGGGGAGGAGGAAGGAAATTGACACAAAGTAGGACAGGTAATAGAAAAGGGGATGGAGGGGTAGTGCTCTTTGATTAATATGTGCAACTAGTAACTTCTGTGAGAGCCCAGTAAACACACACACACACACACACGCACACACACACACACACACACACACACACACACACGTTTATACATGTGGTTCTTCCACTATCAACCAATAATGTAATCTGGGACATTCCCCTTTTTGGTGAAAGGTCTGATTTTCATTATTCACCAGACTTCACACCGTCTGTCTCTGAAGACGTCATAAGAACCTTCAAATTATCCTCACTGAACAAACTCTTTTTTACTTTCTCCTGGTGTCCTTATCTACTTCCTTTCCTGATAAAATGTGCTGCAGGCTGTAATAACCATTCTGTGGATCAAGAAACCCATAAAATTATGCCTTCTATCTGCCCTTTTTTTTTTCAATCTGACCTTTTTAAACTTTAAGTCTCTTTTCTCACAGAGGGCTTCTTCATCCCCCATAGACATTTTTTTCCTCCCTTCCATGGCTGAAAACTACTTGCCCTGTTACACAACTTCTTTTTATATTCATAGGTTAACATAGAGACTTGAACCATATGCACATGCATAGAAGTCCCCTCAGAAAAATGCTTTAAAAAAATTTTCAGTTCAATTCAGCTTAACAATTTGGTCTGATGTTTCAAGGCCAGTGATTTGTAGGTTCCAGATGAAAGACACCAAGTTGGTTATGGGGCTCAAAGAAACAGGAGACTAAAAATGAGCAAATCAGCTGAGAGGAAGCGTGGGGCGTGAGGTCATACGCGTTTGTGACCTGGCAAATCTCCACCAATTTTGTTTGGCTTTTGGGTTTTAGCTCTAACACAGGACTTTGTTTCAGTAGGGTCTTGTTAAATTTTTCCTGTTATATTCAACATTCAGTTTCAGACTGCTGAGCCCGGGGTCCTGCTATAAAACTCTAGTGAAATAATGAAAAAATTCCATACCACTCCCATGTATTGGGTCTGTTTTCATTTTCCTAGGAAGTGCTGGCTAATCCATTTTCTTCTGAGGAAAATGCCTTCTCTGCCTTTTCTACCCCAGGTTATCTTTTACCAGAATGAGGGCTTAGAGATTACTTTCCATGGGAGTACAGTTTACAGAAAAAAGCCTGAATATGCTGTAAATTCTTACATTTGCTAGCACATGGAAAAGCTATGGTCCTCCGTCTATCAGTATTTATTGAGCACCTATGAAGTGCCTAAAAGCATGGAGTGTTAGGCAGAGCACAGGTTTGCTAACTCGGTTTTCCTCCCCCACGCCTCACCCTAAACGGAAGGGATCTGTATGATTTTAAACCATTATTTCAGCCCTCTGGATTATTATTTCGTCTCTGAAGTAGCATAAACAGGAAGTATATTTTAAAATGATAAAGATAGTTTGTGAAAATAAAAATGAATATTTCTTGAGCACCTGTTACATACTAGGTGCAGTGTTAGAAGTAGGTCCTGAGGGGCGCCTGGGTGGTGCAGTCGGTTAAGCGTCCGACTTCAGCCAGGTCTCGATCTCGCGGTCTGGGAGTTCCAGCCCCGTGTCAGGCTCTGGGCTGATGGCTCAGAGCCTGGAACTTGTTTCCGATTCTGTGTCTCCCTCTCTCTCTGCCCCTCCCCCGTTCATGCTCTGTCTCTCTCTGTCCCAAAAATAAATAAACGTTGAAAAAAAAATTTAATAAAAAAAAAACCAAAAAACGAAGAAGTAGGTCCTGGCATGGGGTGTCTGGGTAGCTCAGTCGGTTAAGCATCTGACTCTTGATTTTGGCTCAGGTCATGATCCCACGGTTCGGTTCGTGAGATCAAGCCTAAAATCAGGCTTTGCATTGACAGCATGGAGCCTGCTTGGGATTTTCTCTCTTCCATTCTCTCTGCTCCTCCCCTGCTCGTTCTCTCTCCCTCTCTCTCTCTTTCTCAATATATATATATACATATATATATATATATACACACACATACATATACATACATATATGTATGTATATATAAATATAAATATATGTATATATAAATGTAAATATAAATATATACATACATATATGTGTGTGTGTGTGTGTGTACACACACACACACACACACACACACACACACACACACACACACATATATATAGAAGTAGACCCTGGGGTAAAAAGCTTTCTAGAAATATTCAATTATTGGGTTAGAGAGATTTAGTTTAGTTTCATCTCTAAATGTGGAGAACTTTGATTTTCCTTCAGTTATTACTTTATTAACTGATTCCTACTTTTATGAAGAAGACTCACTATTTTATAAGGACAGGACATATATAAATGCTCTGTTTCTTTATTAACCTTGGGTAGCGGGCACCTCCTTTTTGTATTTTGATGAAACAACTCAGTGGTTACATTACTGACATCAAACAGGATTAGAACTTACAAGGACAGTCTCCTTTATCCTGGTCACTTTCCACTTTAGTATGGCAAGAGGGACCGAGTCACCTGGTTTGGGGTTAGGGGTAATCATGTTTACATTTGTTTTTGTGTGTCCCCAGAGGCTGAGGCTATGCCTGTTGTGTTTGCCTTAAACACTGGTCTTTTGCTCTCTATAAATAATAAATAAAAACAATAGTGTACAGTTTTCATGTTAAAATGTATTGAATGGATAAGAACACATCCTACTACTATTCCTACATGAGGCTGGATTTATTCTAGGAAAATTGGTATACAAAATGAGCTTGGCCTTTTAAAACTGCATTTTTTGTTGTACTTTTGTTGGAAATTTGCTTCCATAAGTCATACTGTTAATAACACATTTACTTTATGTCTCT